CATAGTTCCTTGAGACAGGCAGACAGTCTTACATGTGTTTTTATATAGGAACACAGGGCTCTATGGTGATCTATAAAGTAAAAATTATATGGAACTGAAAAGCCAATTAAAGTATTACTAAAATAACCCTCCAAGCACCCAGCTGTTGGAATAAAAAGTAGACAGGTATTAGTAGTCAGTCTTCTCTACTATCAAACACTTAGCTGTCCAAGGGACACACTTTACAAGTACAGCCAGTATGTGGAGATACTTCATCAAGCTCCCTTTTCTTCCTGACTTTTCCTACTGCTGTGTTTGAAGTGCAGGACTGCCTAGAAGGCATCAGTTTTAAATGTTTCAGGTTTTACACCACTGCTGTCAGAGGTGCAAATTTTGCTGCTCCAGTTGCATAATTTACTTATTCAGCTGCATGCTTGGTTGATCTGGCAGGAGGCTGTAGTACGGTAGTTGAGATTCTGGATATGTTGCCAATTGTGCAGCATGCTTTGTTGATCGGGCTGAAAACTTTAATAGCTGACATTTCATACACTTTACTAATCAGGCCACATTCTTTGCTAATTGAGGTGCATATTTTAGTAGTTGAATTTTTTAATACTTCACTGATCTTGGGAAGGATCCTGCTCCTACCCAAGACTACAGCAAAATTTACACTAGTTGCAATGGGAACAGGATCAAGCTTCTACTTGGAGTATCTGGAATTGGAAAACCCTCCTCTTAAAAAGACTCATATTTTAAATGCAGCTTACCAGAGAAGGGTTAGTTTGGGGAATATATGGAGACCTTCTTGGTTAGTGTTTTATTAACAATACTGTACTCTATATACGCACAGAGTTGGAATTTTGACTGCCTTCCTGTCTATTTAATCAAAATTACAGTTTTTTTCATGACGAATAAACCACTGAATTGCAGATCTTATCCCACTCATTTTACAAAAGAAACACCACTGGGCCTATCATCAGATTTTCCTCCATATGATTAAACTCATGTTTTCTTATGTGGATATACTACTTGGGTCAGGGTGCTGGAGACAGACACAGGCTTCAAATAAATTTAAGCTTTGCCACAGTGTCTTAAAGTTCCTCAACTCTGACGTTCAGAGATGACTTCCAAGGGTGAAAGGGGCAAGTAAAGCCTCCAGGGCCCACACAATCTTTGACCTTTCTGTTTAGACCATCACAGGCATCAATTAGCACCAAATCCAATATTATTCTTATGAGGTAAAAGATACCAAAACACATCCTAATATTTCATAAGCTTCTGTAAAAGCTTCCAGATGTGAACTTGTTGTCATATTAAACTGCACTGGATTTGAAACAGCAACCTAAAAAATAAAAAACACTCCACTCTAAGTGCAAAGATGCTCAGAATCCAAATAAAGATGTCAAAAAAAAAAAAAAAAAAAAAAAAAATGATGCTTACAGGTTAAGGACCATAATGTGATCCTTGGCAATACCAAGTAACTTAGCTTTCTATAGAAAGGAGAGGGATGCACAGAAGTTCTCCTACAGAATGCCTAAAGAGGTTGATGAGAGTTATGTACAACTTAAATATCATTCTAAAAATATTATCCTGTACTGTCAAGAGACTATACAGATCATATGCAATCTAAAAGGGTAACTTGCAAGACAGAAAGTCTGAACGGGGAGGGAATACAACGGGTTTCAGTGTGCTACCATTAGAGGTAGTAGCTCTTTTTATAAAGGCAGAGGTCAATCAGCACCTTAAAGAGTCAACCAACCCGATTTTGGAAGTGCGTGAACAATGGAAAGCTTAAGAAAAATACATAAAGAAAACATACAACTTGCTCACATCATCTTCCAGGTCTTACCACCCCCACCCATTCCAAGAAGCATATAAACTCAACTATAGCTACTTTCATCTGCTGACTATACATACACAAGACAAGACAATGCCAAACTATAAAAATGCAAAACTCATGCAACTAGTGAATTCTGCAGCTCAATCAGAGGAGGCAGCAGATGGATTAGGGAGACATGTTTCAATAACAGAAAAGACAGCAGACTATACACCTTGTTTATTGATGCAACACTATAAAATAAGAATCCAGCTCATTAAATTAAAAAGTTATAGCGCGCCTTCATAAAGTTAGGCTTCTAACATTCAAGCTATGTCATCAACTGCTAAAAAAAGGCTTAACAGAAATAGCTAATGCATAGTAGTTATCTCATTGCAAAATCTTGTCAGGGAAAAAAGTATCTAAGTTTCTACTGCAAGACAGCAGAGGTCAACATTACATTCACCCCATACTTCCAGTTCACCTCTACTGGCTTATCTAGCAGTAAAACTACAGTGCCTTTTCTTCACTAGTGCCAGCTAGCCAAATTTAGTAAGCAATCCATGAGCCTTCCAAAAGTTGTATTTCTTATAAAGTTAATAGCCAATTCAGTTACCAAGTACATCCCTGAAAATGGAAGATGCTGAATTTTAGCCGATTTTGGATTTTAAACTTAATTGCAGAACAACAAGAAAGATTTTTTACCTTCCCGCCTGCCATCTGACACCTCCAGGGAAGGAATTCTACGTAATCTACCCATCAAAGAGCTACTCAACACAGCTCACAATGACACTCTCATAGACTCAGAGGGACAGTTTTCCATCTAGCTCCATCTGTGCAGAAACAAGGTTTATTTCCTACCTATGGGGACTTTTTACATCTTTTACCATCTATACTTTTCCCAGAGCCTGATGAAGGGCCTTTGAGCCCAAAAGCTTGCAGAAAAGGACAATTTTCTTGTGATTTCCCAGTTGGTCTAATAAAAGGTATCATTTTGGAACCAAGAGTTCTAGTTTTTTTGCATATTATTTCTTATAAGGCAGTTATGACAGAACAGAAGGTACACCATATATTTTACACAGCGTCCACCCTTCTTCCAAGGATGTAAAATCTTGAAATTATTTAAGTCAATGGCAAGAGACCTATTGACTTCAATGGAACCAAGACTACCAGCTATTACATCCAAAGGGTGAGCATTTCATTTGCAAGTGAGACCACACTGTGAAGCAGTCTGCCTTAGGAACCAGCCTCTGGTCCTACTTTTTAGTATGTTGCAGCCTACACCAATGTCCCTTTAGATGAGACCCCACACTTAGCCAGTTACATTGTTTCAACCCTTTTGAGATGACAAACTAAGAATTAAAATATCAATAACACACAAAAGTAACATTCATGCCAATCTATCTGTATGCCTTGAGTACTTCACTGAATACCAAACTGAAGGACAAATTTTTACAATCCAATTTGGTTGTTGCTAACAGGAAGCCTCATATCTTATTATTCATTTACACATTTGAGCTTTTTAGACATATGTAATACCCACACAATTCAGAGACCTCACTAGTCCATATACACCAGTATCCTATAATTATAAACTAGGATTTATTTTTCAAGTCCTTTCCAAAGGACAGAGAATGACAAAACTGTATGAAATATCTGAATACTCATCCTACTCAAGATACTTTCTCAGTAACATCAGTACAGTTCTACTAATTTGCTACACTTGTGTGTGTTTAATCCCCCCCCCCCCCAAAAA